TACAAATATGAGCAGCAATCATACCTGTATCAGACATCTATCTGCCCAGACTCATAGTTTGCATTTTTAGTTCTATGAAAATCCTAATGCTTTGGTTATATGAAATGATTAATAAATCTTAGTATGATTTTCTTGGATTTTAATTTTTAAAATTTAAAAATTTAAATTTTTTTTATAAAAAGTTGAAATAAAGCTTTTGGAAAAATAAATTTTCTAAATTCACTTCATGAAATGTAACATAATTATAGGTTATTTTTGTATAATGCATTTTAATATCTGATCTTTAAAACCAACATAAATTGTTTTCCCTGTATACTTGAATGAAGATACCACTCAAGAACAGCAGGTACTTCCAAAACTTTCTTTACATTTATAATGAATATATAGTCAATACTATTTAAAGTGAGATACATACCTCGGCTGCCATCTTCCTTGCCATCGACCTTGTCACAACCTGACTGCACACACCACTGTGACATCGATGGTAATTCCTAAGAGGTATGACCATCTTTGACACCAACAATTATTCACTAGCAAATGCTGGTTCAAGCGATAACCAAGTACTTAAAGCACTGAGAAATAGCAAGCACCAAGGAGGATTTCAAGCACTGATCAAGAACACTGAAAAAGACAATATACAAGAATGGTAATTTTACACTGGGAACTGGTAGAGGAGCCTGAAGAAGAGCAAAAGAAAAACATGTTAGACACTTCTTAAGGTGAATATGATGCTTAACTGCTTTATTAACCCTTTCATCACTAAGTAATTTTGTAGACACAAAGTCTTCAACACTAAGTAACTTTGGAGTTGTAAAGCAAAATGGCTTGTGGATTTTAAAATAACATAACTTTGCCAATTATAAAGATATCTGGCTGGATTAGGTGTCAAAATCAAGGTTAAAAATCAAATACTAAAATGTGCATATCTAATACAACTGTTTAAATACAGGTGCAAGCAGGTAACACAACAGGTAAAATACAAGTAATTATCTATTTACCTCTTAGAAAGTTATTTAAGTAATAAATCTCATACTGACCTATGTGAAAGTCAATGTCATGGGCTTTGTGAGTTCATAAAACTTAATATTCATAAATTCAAAGGTCTGTAATTGTTTCAATTCTATAATTTTGAGAGAAAAAAAATGTAAACATTAGCCTTAAAACTGTACAAATGCTATTTTGACTGAATAATGCTACCAGCTTAACATTTTGACATGTACAAGATAATGATGCTATGAATATGTGACAACAGGAATAGTGATATGACAGGGAAAGAATAGCACTTATGACATCATTTGCCATCCAATGAAAAACTCATACAAATTGTAGAATAATGAGTAATTTCCATTTTCACCTTTTGATGACATGATTATCAATGACAACAAAACATGGTGCTGTTGAACAAATGCCTAAAAATAGCATAAAAATATCCATTAAATTACGTTCAACCAAACTGGACTGCAGCAAAACAAGAAAACCTTACTGTATACTTTTAAACTTTCACATTGGCAATGATGTCTATGGTACCAGAAAAATTTCAACTATGTCTTGATAATTACTTACTCATGTGCAACAATATGTATTTCGTCTATGGATCTTGTAAAGGCATTTTGAAACAATTTCCTGAACAAAAATTATAGATAAAGTTTTTAGTATTTTGGTATTTAATACTAATGTCAAAATATTCATATCATATTTAGATCATATTCCGTAGGTGCAAACTTTATAATTATGAACATATACAACTATTAAATGAATAAAGTAACTGATGAAGTAGTTAAACAAAGTTACATGATTTGTTTTTTTTTAAATGTAAAATCCTTTGTAGTATTTGTAAAAAATGACTAACAAGAAAACTGTTCTACTATACTTTAATTTATAGACATCAAATATGAATAAAAGGATTTGGAGGACCGATCAGTATTTTGGTTACGTAAGAATAATAAGCCATAATAGAAAGTTGCTTCCATTTAACAAAGTTGTAGAACAAATATAACATTACAATAGAGAAGCAATGATATTAAAAGAAAGTACTCCTGTATATTAACATTTTGATCTCTTGAACAAAGATACAATCGTATGACAAAGAAAATTTAGATTTGTTCTTGGTAACCGATTACATCTGATTAACAGTTGATTAAGTGAAACTGATTATTGATTATGAATTTCTGACTTACTGATCACGAATTTCTTACTGATTCCCATCAAAGTCCAAGTTTTTACTATTTTGATGACGAGATTGGCTCTTAGCTTACACTGGCTTGGCTCCCTATTTTAGAAATATCTTGGGCACAAACACACTATTCTGACCTAAATATATTTGTAAGTTGGTTATTTCACCCTCACTTAGGTCAGAATTATTTAAATTAAATCATTGAAGCTCAACAACACAGATATATATACATATATACAGAGAGAGACAGACAGACAATGAGTATTCATGGACACTAATGAGTGGGCGTTTGGGGGATTATAAAATCTAACTTTCATTATCAACCAATCCCGAACAGCCAAACCCATACAACACTAGTTTACGTTCTAGACTAGTTCCAATTTATCAATGTAGCAAGTTCTATATCCAAGTCCTATATCCACCTTTGGTTGACAAGAAGAAGAAGAAGAAGAAGAAGAAGAAGAAGAAGAAGAAGAAGAAGAAATTAGTAAATGCTCAAGGTGACCATCCATATATGCATATCTTAATTTATGGTACCGATAAGGTGATTTCGGGTTGTTAGATTTCATCGAACTTTATTCATAAAACGTCAGATTCGACTGATATTACTACAGTAATGGATATTTAAATGAATTACCTAAACTTGTCCGAAAACATGTACAATTTAAAACTAAAGGTACACACAAGTCAATTAAAATACAATATATTCGGTTTCTGAATGAAATTAGTGGGATGTAAAGTCATGACGGGTCATCACCTTTAATAGAGACCTACGTGATCATATCTGACATTGCTGACATTGCTTACCATAATTACTATATAAATGTTGAGCATTAGAAAAATTATATCTTTAATTACTTTGGTATTAAACAATGTGCAAAACAATTCAACTATCAAAGTTTAACCTGATCAGAAAAATATAACCCCACCCCAGCCATTTCTAAAGTAAAGGAATATATAATACAGTGTACTTACGCAAGTCAGGACATGTAATCCAATGAAAATATTTTTGAAATGGACTTAAATACTGCCAGATCACGTGATCTATAAAAACAATCTTCATTTGCATAGCTTTGTTGATTATGTCAAGAGTTGTTTTCAAAACAAATCATTAGCACTTGCACGAGCAAATACAGCTTAGGTTACTGCCTTAAGGAAAGTAAATCATTAACCAAATGTTGCAGAGCAACCTAGCATTTTAATATGGGAATTATGGTGGGTTGGTATGTTCTTTTTAAACAACAACTCTCAGCACTTAAACAGATTTATAAAAGTAATTTTAGCGCTGTCAGAACTGTATCTGATACAATCTGACCACGTGATACGTTTGTCTCATGAATCGTTCCCGTCAAAGATGAATCACACTTGAATACTATTCCGACAGATGAAATAACCATGTTTTCCATTTTATATCTGGAGTAAAAAGTCCATCTTTAAATAAACATTGCTGCTGATAAAAAAAAAAAACTTTATTTAACGTCAACATTCTTATTTAAAGCAATGATGTGTAACAATAGCTTCTGCATCACACAACCATAGCAGACCAGTTGGAAATCAGTCACTGAAATATAGCAGGGGATTATCGTCGTAATTGTATGCATGTATTTCCTGTTAGTATATGCCGTATATTTCTATTCTGCATCTTTGTATGTTCAAGATATACATTCAAGATTGCATCTTTACAACTGTCTACGGTTCTTTGCAAATCTGATACGCTCATATCTTCAAATTTTATGTGTATATTTTCTTAAACACGCCAACATTCTACATTGAATCATCATAGTCAAATCGGTGCATTGTGACAGGCTATTTGAATACATATTAATCACATATTAATACCATAAAGGTACAAATGTGTAACAGTGTCTCTCTCTCTCTCTCTCTCTCTCTCTCTCTCTCTCTCTCTCTCTCTCTCTCTCTCTCTCTCTCTCTCTCTCTCTCTCTCTCTCTCTCTCTCTCTCTCTCTCTCTCTCTCTCTCTGAGAAATTATAGAGCCTGATAGTCATTTCCAATAATTCCCGTTTCCTATTCCATTGACCCCTATGAATTCTTAAGGGATGCAAAACGCCATTCAAACATTGAAAAATATAAATGAACTAAATATATTCCAGACTTAAACAATTTAGTTAAATTATGACTAAATGTTACCACGACAAGGATTCAAGCATGGGACCTTTTTGGCTAAAATCTATAATCAGTGAAAGGCGATGTAGTCTATTCTAACAATATTTATCCAATAATGTCAGAAAGTTTGCCTGTAGCTTACGTTGGGTCGGTGGTTCTTGCCGGATATATCAGGGTTCATCCACACCATTCATACTGGCCGCCATATATGACCAATTAATTGGTAAGAATGACGATAAACCCCAACCACCACACCTCCTGCAATAATAACACATTCTTGAAATAAAATGCAATGGAACGGGAATATTTTTACAAGTAATTGTATACATTAATTATTTAATACTAATGCTTTTCTAAATTACTTTATCTCTTATTTAATTTACACAACCGTGGGCTTAAATAGTTTATTTGCTTGAAATTCACCATGTTTCCTCAAAAAGACTAATGATGCAGCATGGTCATGATACTCTAAATGTTTTATACGACTCTTTTGAAATGTTTCAGACCTACAAGTCCAATACGAAACGAGATCAGAGCACGGACGGTCGGACATGACACAATCAATACACACCATCACTTAATTTTTTAGCATTTAAATTGAAAAGACTGACGTTTTGTTGACTCTAAAGTGCCCACCAATCTCAACGCAATGAATACTCTGTAAAATTTTCTCAACTTCATCAATTCTAAATACCTGTTAACCGCTTCGGTGGCCTAGTGGTTAGAGCCTCCTCCTCGGTTGCGGAAGGTCTTGGGTTCGATCCGCGGTCGAGTCTGCCAAAGACTTACAAAAATGGTACGAACAGCTGCCTAGCTTGACGCTCAGCATTAAGAGGTTAGTGTTAGGACTGGTCGGCCTGGTGTCAGGATAATGTGACTGGGTGAGACATCATGCTACATGTCTGCGGCATGATGTCCCAGTGCTAGACATAACTATAAACTGCCACACTGCAGACATCGTAGCGATATGACTGAAAAATTGTTAAAGCTACGTTAAAAAAATCATAAACACTACCACACTACACCACCTATGTTCCTGTAGAGAACGAAAATATAGAATGTCATCATTAGAATCGAAATATATTCACTTTCATCTGACATTTCTTTAATAATGGATTCTGGATATACTTTGTGTACGACAAAGTTCCTAAATTTATTGACACCTTTTCGCCCCGTCCTAACATATATGGCTGGCTAGGACTTGGAGATGACACCCTGCTTTTCCGAAAGATGAGCTTTGGTGTGGGTTTCCCCTGTCCTCCATATAAGTGTTATATGTTTTTGTGTTTTGAAAATAATGAATAGTATATAAATAGTGTCAGGGCTGCTCTACGTTTTGTTCCACAGATTCTTGAATTGTATTATCCCTAGACAGGCCTGGTAAGGTTATACTCCTTTTCCCTTTACCTGGGCTGGCAGTGGGCCTGGTTTCTATCCTCCCTTACCTGGAACTTACGATAGTAATGATCCCCTACCTCACATCTACTCCCTTAGGACTAATAAGTCCTGACTCTGGCAAAATCACTCCGCGACAACTGTCTGGGATCTAGGGAGAGAAAACCAACCATAGAACAAAGTTCCTAACAGCATAATATTATGTGGGGTCCAGTTAAAAATGAGGTCGCACAATGTGTCTCCAGCATTTTGTAGTTGGATTTTCTTTGATGTTGGCATCATTATAAATTGACACGCAGCAGACATCGTAGCGATATGACTGAAAAATTGTTAAAGCTACGCTAAAAATCTAAATCACACAACCAGATAATAGAAAAATGTCTTGCAAGATATTCACAATTGCTTTAAAAGAAGGTTGAGATCCGTCGATAAGAATAAAAGCGTCATCAGCATGCTGACTTAATTTATACTCACTGACATCAAATACGAGTCCTCGTACATTCGCGGTTTGCTTTAAATTTATAGCTCAAAACGCAATACCGATAATAAGATAATAAACAGATAAGACGCAAAAGGATCCCCTTGACGGCATACTTTTCCAAGTCTAAAAACGTGATGACATATAACACAACTTTTAGAGTTATTACAAGACAGCTTAAACTACTTACAACGAGAATCATCAAAGTTTAAATTTTGTGAAGCTTTTCCCATAAAGATCCAGTTAATTGATTCCAATAAGTTTTCGATGTCTATTAACAATAATAAACCGTATCTATTTTCATTATCTAGTTGATCTATGACATCATATAATAGCTTGGAATTTTCTTCAATGAATCTACCTTTCATACATCCTTTCTGAGTATCACTTGATGGAAGAACTTTTTTGTAATCCTAGATGCAATTACTCCCAAAAGCTATCTTATTCCTATTACTTTTAAGATCTTCTATTTTGTCTTTTTTGGTAGACGTGTACTGACTCCTTGAGTCTGAAAATCTGAAAGTTTTCCTATAGTGCATCTTTATTGATATGTATAAAAATCCCCCATTAGACTTACAAAAGAATGTATTGAACTCTGAGGCAAGACTTTTCCCATTTTCCATCCGTTTTAGAGACATGCTGAATTCATTAATTTGTAAGTAGATCATCGCATGATTCTCTTTCTTTTTTGACTTAATTTAATATTGTGATTAAAAATCTATTCCGAGCTTCTTAAATATCATTAACATCAAGCTGATCAGTTTTACTTTTGTTTAATTCCGAGTAGAACTGTTTTTTGGACTTTTAAGATATCTTTTTGGTCCGTTATATTTGTCCCATCATCTAAAATTATTCCCTTTGTTGTCTTATTGACATAACTTTTTTTTCAAGATTTAAAAGTATTTGGTGCTTTTCTTCTCCCTACTCATACCATCGAGCTTTTGATTTTAATATGACACCTTCTATGTATTTTGTCCTAGATTTCTCTAGTTATGCTTTATTTTTTTTTTCTTCTAAATTTTCCAGAGCGTCCCCATCTATGTAATCTAACAATCCCTTGTGACTTTCTAATATTTCTTGTTCAAGTTTCTTTAATTTATCCCGTTTCTATTTTGTTTCCTTGATAAAATAATTTATAATTTCGAATCTTACTTTCATTTTGAAAATTTCAAAGAATATTTGATTATAGGAAAGAGGAACGTAAAGAGATCCGTCTTTATTTCCCCCCTACGTAATATTCATTTAAAGTGCCAGCCATACGCTTTTTTTGACCAAGTCAATATAATTAGTATTCCTCTACAGGTGAGCATTACATTTCCAATATCCTTTTCCTTTGGACAATTTGATAAAGCCACACTCAAAACAACAACTGCATGATCAGTCCTATACCCTGGTAAGATAAGTGCATCAGCTATATTCATATAAATATCATCAGATACAAGAAAGTAATATAATCTACTCTGCTTTAAAGGAGACGTTTATTCCATGTATACATCTCTAAATCATGATTGGAATTTCTCCAGGGGTCAATTAATTCCGGTTCGTTTGTTAGGTCTTGGATTGATGCTTTAGGCTGTTAGTGTTAGTCATGCAAAATATTATAAGTATTTGAATCTAGGTCTTAAACTCATTAACAGTATCTCATTCTCCACATATTATAACTGACGAGTTCTAAAATACTAACATTTCTTCTTTTAGATTTCTAAAAAGGCTTGGATTATCATCGTTATGACCATTTAAATTTAGGAGGGTTATTCTATTTCCGTTAATTGTAATATCTAAAATAACAAATCTCTCTCGACTGTCACATCTTTCTCTATGAAGAAATTCAAAAGTATTTCTTAAGAATACTTAGACCCCAGCACTATTGTTTGTATTGTGGCGAAATATACATTTGTATCCTCAATCAGCAGCCAAATATTTTTCATATTCTTTATACTGTTAGTTTCTTGCATGCAAGTAATAGATACATTCTTTTTTTCTTACCCATTGGATAATGTCCCTTGGCGTAAGTACTGAACCTTGCAGACCTCTAATATTTATAAATAAAATGTATGTGTTGTTATTCATAAAACGGTCCGGTCAACAAAACGACAGATCCTCCCTCCCCCCCCAAAAAAAAAATAAGCTGGGGCTAAGTTGTTCAAGGTTGCCAAGATATAGGTATAAGAACGCAAAACTGCGACAGGGAAATACTTTTTTCCAAGGACATTACTCGCCACATCAAACAGCGAAGAAACACATTGAGGTGAATCCTATCAACATGATGAAATTAATTTGATAAATTATAATATTAATAATTATTATTGGAAAGAATTGTTATGTATATCTATATTTTTATATCTACTTATAGATGATATTTATTTCAATTTTCGTAATTTTTATTCATGGTTGTCTTAATTAATCAATAACGGTTAAATAAACATAGGCCGATTCGGTTTTACTCTTTTGAGTGACGTTTGGAAACTTTGGTCTTTCACTTTAAAATCTCATGACTGTTAATTGAACATTTAACTTGAATTTTTCAGTTCAAATTGTGCTTTGAACCTTTCCTCCAGACTTTTCAATTCAAGATTGTGCTTTGAACCTTTCCTCCAGACTTTTCAATTCAAGATTGCACCTTGAACCTTTCCTCCAGACTTTTCAATTCAAGATTGTACCTTGAACCTTTCCTCCAGACTTTTCAATTCAAGATTGTACCTTGAAACTTTCCTCCAGACTTTTCAGCTCATAAATGTTGAAGACGAGCCAACACTTACCAAGAAGAGCCGTTTTGTCACTATAAGCGTGATTGTCAACTTATATTATAAAATTTCATCTCAATCGGTTCATGAGAAAGCTTGCTTTTGTATACCGTTTCTTTCCTTTTCGAAATGAAGGAATAAGAACAATGACTCTCACCGGCTGCACGACAACTTAAACGTTTTTCTTGCAACATGCATATCTTTGCAGTGTTCTTACTAAATGTTAGCACCTTGACGTTCCTGTCATGTTGACGGCAACTAATATCTGAGTCACCCTTTTGTTAACTGTTTTGCCTTACGTACCGTCAAATATCATCTCACTTTTCTGTTGTTTTTTTTTTCCCTTAAGCTTAATTTGCATCCGACCTACTTCCAATTCGTCCTTTTTCAATGTAAAATACATAGACTTTTAATTGTTATAACTTTCTAGGATCATTTTTCATCACACCATCCTTCAGGTCTTAAACTGTGTTTTGTTTAGTTACTTAATAGTCTGATGTATGTCATTAAAAACTCATTAGCCCTCATGTTTAGTTATTGTTTTAATCATACCGACTAGTGATACTATCTACTCTTGTCTTATCAAGCACTCTCATATAAAATAGTGTAAGAAACACGCGTAATGAAATACTGTAACAAAACTGTAGCACAGTCCTTGTGGAACTTCGCAAACGACCACAAAACAGGACGTTATCTGTACAGAATTATATTGGATATGCTAGTTTCAAGTGGAGGTAATAAGGAAGCCTAAATATTGATCTTAAGATAAAAAAGGATGATAGCCACGGCCCGTCTAGTTGCAGCTACAATTTGTTTTTGTTTTCAGTCGAAATAATGAAAACGAAAACCTTACTAGAATTAAAATTATATCATGTCCTCTACAAAGAGACAGATTCTGAAATATTCTTGTAAAAATTAATTTTATTTGAATATATATATATATATATATATATATATATATATATATATATATATATATATATATATATATATATATATATATATATATATATATATATATATATTATGATATCAGTTACTTAGATACAATGGCTACCTCTGTATCACGACTAGATTTTTCAGTTCGACGCATCCGTCTTTCCGATAACATGTTTCTACATAACAGCAATGTTTATTTAGTCCATTCGGCTGTATATAT